GCTGAGATGGTGACTGAGACTGGGCATGGAGTCGCATGCCTGTAATCTTAGCACTTGGGAGGCTGAAAACAGGAGAATCATGTAGTGAGACCCTGTAGACCTTGTTCTAAATATAGAAGGGGAAAAAAAACCTGCATACTATCACAAAGTATCAACAACTAGGATCTCACTAAAATGCTTTTACACAGCAAGACATACCACCACCACAGAGTGGAGACAATTCACAATGTAGAAAAAAAGTTTGCCAGTTGTTCCTCAAAGGACTATTATCCATCCATCCATCCATCCATCCATCCATCCATCCATTCTTCCATCCTTCTATCCTTCCATCCTTCCTTCCTTCCTTTCCACCTTGCACTTCCCAAGCAGGTGTTTATGCCAATGAGCTATCTCCCTGGTCCCCTCCCAAATTTAAAGACCCAGTCCAAAAATTGGCATCTGAGATGAATACACACTTCTGAGATGAAATACAAACAGCAAATAAACGTGAAAATATATTCAAAATCACTTGTCATCTGAGAGATGAAAATTAAAACAACACTGAGATTCCATCTCACCCTGGAAAGAATGGGTATAATCAAGAATTCAACCAATAACAAATGCTGGAGGGGCTGTGAGGAAGAAGGAACCTTTCTACACTGTTAGTGGGAGTACAGACTGCTATGACCACTGTGGAAATCAGTGTAGAGATTCCTTGAAAAACGAGGATTAGAGGTTTCATTCAACCCAGCCATACCCTTACTGGGTACCTCCTAAAAGAATTAAAAACATCATACTACAGTAATATATGCACATCCACGTTTACAGTAGCACAGTTTGCAACAGTAAAGTCATGGAAACAATCCAAGTGCCCATCAACAAGTGAAAGGGCAAAGCAGATGTGGATTTTTATATGATGGAGTACTACTCTATCATAAAGAAGGACAAGCTCTCAAGACATTTCTAGGAAAATGGTTACACCTTGAGTCCACACTCTTAAGTGAAATAAGTCAGACATACATGTGTAAATAACACATTGTTTCTCTGGTGTAAGAAACTGAAATAGTAAATAAGGACCAAAATGTATAATAGGGATTATGAAATAGAAAATGTTTAAAAGTGGAGGGGAACAAGGGAGAGGAAAAAAAGGAAAAGCAAAAAAAGAAAAACATACAAACAAAGCTTTTGTAAATGGGAAGGAGTGGTTTAAGAGAGGGTAGAGGAATGGGGGAAAAAAACAAGTTATATCATATACAGGTAAAAAGTCTCTATGATGACTATGATCATTATGTACATCTAAAATGTACTAATAAAATCTGAATGGAAAAGAAAACAAAGCCCACTCAAGCTTTGAAGAACATCAATTTTACACAATATATTCCACAAAACAGAAAATGAGGGAACACTTACCTATTCATTTTATGAAGCCAATGTTATTTTGATACTAAAACCAGACAAGACAAAAATAAGAACACTACAAACTGATATAGAACATCCTGGACAGTTTATCAGCAAACTCAGTGTAACAACTCATAAAAAAAACTATGCATGCCATGTCGGCCCTGCCCCAGGGCACTGAGACAGCAGTTGAGGCTGGGTGTGGTGGTACACACCTGTAATCCCAGCACTTAGGAGCCTGAAAACAGGAGGATCACCACAAGTCTGATCTGTGTAGTGAGACCCTGTACACCCTGTACTAAATACAAAAAAAAAAAAAAAATCATATTGATTTTCTCAATTGACAGAACCCAACACCCATTCATAATAAAATCTCTCAGCTAACTTGTAATAGGCATTGTGGGTACAATTATATCCTTTGTCCCCCACAAAATACGTCCTAATTCCGACACCTGTGAAATGAATGTGACCTTGCTTGGAAGTAGTCTGTTTACAGATGGAATCACATTAAAATTAAGATTCAGGAGCTGGTGAGACAGCTCAGCAGACTAAAGTTCCCATTTAGGCAAGCTCAGGGACCATAGTTCAATCTCTAGCATGACATGCCATGCCACCCAGGGTAGGTGGATGAGCCCAGGTCATGGCTGAGCCGGCCAGAGTCCGGAAATAGTGCTGCATGCATAAATTCCAGCACTGGGAAGGCTGAAAGCAGGAGGATCACTATGAGTCTGAGCTGTGTAGTGAGACCCTACAACAACCAAATACATTAAAAAATAAATAAAAATAAATAAATAAATAAAAATTAAGGGTCAGACTGAATTCAGGTAACTGATCTGGTGAGATTAGAGTCCTTGCAGGAAAGATGATGGAAATGTAGACATAAACTCAGAAGTAAAATGCCATGTAAAGATTGGAATGATGGGGCTGGAGAGATAGCTCAGTAGAATAAGTGCTTGCCTGGCAAGTGCAAGGGCCTGAGTTCAATCCCCGGTTCAAAAAAAAAAAAAAAAAAGATTGGAATGATGCATTCACAAGCTAAGAGCTCCAAGTCCTGGTACCACACACCATGGCAGTCCTGCTGGGGAGGCTAATACATGAGGCCTTTCATCGAATAAATGAACTAATAAAAATTTTTTTAAAAAGTTCAGTCTTTAGGGATAACTGTCACATTATTGTTGAAATTTAACAGTCAGACTGTATTTCAGCCATACAAGTTGAAAAAATAGGGTCAGCAAGATAGCTCAACAGACTAAGTGCCTGGGACCCAGGTTTGATCCCCAGCACCACATGCCGCGTTGTCCCCATCCCCGGGGCATGCTGAGTCAGCCTTTGAGATGGGGCATGGTGGCACACATCAGTAGTCCTAGGACTGGGGAAGCTGAAAACAGGAGGATGACTATAAGTCTGAGCTGCATAGTGAGACCCTGTACCAAATACCTGTCTGTCTGTCTGTCTGTCTGTCTATCGATATATGCTGAAAAGATAGTGAAATGTTGCTCAATAAATTTTCACTTTTTAAAATAAACAAATTGGGCTGGTGAGATGGCTCAGTGGTCTAAAGCACCTACTTAGAACAAGCTTGGCCAAAGCAGAGGGACCATGGTTCAATCCCCCAGCACCACATGCCAGCCAGCCCCGCCCCCTGGTGGGCTGAGCTGGCCACACACACACACACACAAATAAATAAATGTTTAAAAATAAATAAATAAATAAATAAAAAATAAATAAATAAAATAAACAAATTCTTTTATATACTATGATTTTCTAAAATGACCAGTATTAAATAATTCAAGAATTAACTTTATTTCCAAATTACAAATATCAGTTTGAGCATCTTATATCTTCATTATGAACTGCTCTCTTACTTTAGGTTATTTTAAGAAAATTCCAGAGAGGCTGGGGATTTGGCTCAGTGGTAGAATGCTTGCTTAGCAAGTTGGAAGCCCTAGGTTCAGTCCTCGGCACCAAAAAGAAAACAAAACAAATCAAAAAAGAAAATTCTAGAATGCTTCTATTTATTCACTTCAACCAAATACAGCAGAATCAGTTCTTAAATTCTCCAGGCCTAACACATGCCCCTTTTTACCTTAAACACCAAAACTCATATTTTCTTTCTTTCATATGACTCCTACGAAAAGAGCCAGAGGATGAGGCTGGGGGGAGGGAGAGGAGTGCTCCAAAAGGAAACTGAAAACTGTATTTAAAAGGGATGAGCCGGGGAGATGGCTCAGTAGGATAAGCGCTTGACTGGCAAACGCAAGGATCTGAGTTCAATCCCCAGTTCCACAAAATAAAAATAAAAATAAAAGGGATGAGTATCAAGGTATAAAAAGAATATAACTAGATACACAATCACAGATTATTGTGATAGGAGAAACCAAGGGCCTTTTTCACCCTCTATTTCTCAAATGTTGCTTTGCTTTAAAGTCTGAAACACATTTGATTTGTTTTAATATTTTCATCAATAAGGATACATGTTTCTCATTAACTGACTCAGAAATTCATACTTTGGATAAATCATTTTAAATCCTATTACCTAACTTCTTAAACAGTCTAGTTTTGATCTTTCTCAGCCAGGAATCAACCACTTCCTCTGATTGGTTGATTTTGGTAAAACCTACACAGCATAAAAACTACCTTTTGAGTGCACAATTCAATGGCATCAAGTACATCCACAATGTTATACAACCATTATTACCATTAATTTCCAGAGTTTTTTATCATCTTTTTTTTGGTGGTACCGGAGATTGAACTCAGGACCTTGCACTTGCCAAGCAGGCGCTTTTTCTACTGAGCTATCCTGTCCAGCTCTTATCATCTCAAATATAAACTCTGCACCCATTAAAGATAACTCCCTATGCCAGTACCTAGGATGTACTTTTTATCTCTATAAACTGACTTATTTTCGTGTAAATGGGTATTTGTCTTCTTGGGTCTGGCTTATCTCAGTGTGATGTTTTGAAAGTTTATGTATAATTTTAAGTTTATCTTTTTATTTTTATTTTTTCCCATAATTTTATTGATATGGATGTTATACTGTAATAATAATCTCATTTCTATTAAAGAGAATTTAAAAACCAATAAAAACAATATAGAATTTCAAAACAAAATTATAAAAGAGGGCCAGGGAGATCCTTGGTACCCCCCAAAAAAAGATAGAAAATTAACAATGGTTATTATCATTCCACAACAGTATATTGTGTACCCATGTTTATAGGAGTAATAGCTAAATCTTGAAAACAACTCAAATACCCAATAATCTCATTTCTTCCTTAAGGCTAAATGGTATACATTATATGTAGATGGCAAATTTTGTTTATCCTTTCTTCTGCTGGTGAACATCTGGGTTGTTTTCTTCTTAATATATATTAAAATAAAATATCAAACATCAATCAAAATTAAGAGATTCTTCAAAATATGAGTAGAGGGGAACATACAAGGGGAGAAGAGTTATAAGACATGTACTAAGGTCTAAAGAATGCAAACAAAATGCAGCAGTAGCACACTTTCAGTAAGCACAGTATGTTTCACTCTGTAATTGTTCTAAAAAACTTAAAAATTATTAAAACTACCATTTGACCCACCACCTCAGAGAATAAGAAATAACTATATTTGGCTATGACCTTCTAACTGCTGGTGCTTCATATATGCATTAGCAAGTTAAGTTTTTTATTCCTGTTATGCACCACACAGAAAGAACAGATCTATCTCATGGAACTAGCTTAGTATAAGGTATAAACAAGATGCATGATTTATTTTTTAAATCACAGAAGAGTATCATTTTAGGCCCTGGTACAATGAAGAAAAGAATACTGTAATAAACTAAAATAGGATCTATGTGATATACATTGCGAAGTTAGTAAAAAATCTCTGAAAAAGAAATATTCAACCTGTAACCTGAAAGTTAAAACTGTCAAAATAACTAAATGAAAGTTAAGAGTAAGAAGATGGCAAAATGGTAAACATCAGAGAAAGAGCCTCTCTGAGAGCTGCCATCCAGACACTGGAATATAGTAACTTGAAAGAGGAGGAAGTAGTCTCCTAGACCCAGGAAAGATCTGATGTGAGAATTGAAGCCCACAGGGACAGCCAAGAGAGAAATTTCAATGAATAAGGTGGCAGCTGTCAGAGCCTTCTCCCTGAATCAGGACTTAGTACATGAGGGGAGTGGTTCAAACTTGTGGACACATAGTGAATGCTGGCAACACCACAAAACCCCACAGAGAGATGCCGTGGTAGAAGGGAACAGTGGGTGTGGAGGACTACACTAGTTGGGGCTGAGGGCTCAGTAGTATACAGGAGAGGGCGACTGGCTGAAAGCCATCTTTGAGAGGGGCCAGCTGAGCTCAGAACTCAGAACAACTCCTGGATCCATCTAGCAGATCCCAGCTGAGTTCAAGCCCACAGAAGGTGCACTGATGGCTATAGCTGCATGGGTGTAGTCCCAGCCTCACAGACCAAAACCAGCCTGAACTTCAAGAGAAATAAAGGTGCAGGCTCACTAAGATTATCTGCTACCCCACCATAAAGCTACTGCTGTGGGGCTGGTGAGATGGCTCAGTGGTCTAAAGCACCTACTAAGAACAAGTTTAGCAAAGCACAGGGACCGCTGTTCAATCCCCCAGCACCACATGCCAGCCAGCCGCGCCCCCTGGTGGGCTGAGCTGACCACACACCCACACCCACACCCACACCCACACACACACACAATAAATAAATAAAAGTATTTAAAAAATAAAAAAAAATAAAGCTACTGCTGGCCTGCTGGGATAAATCAACAGAGACTTGGACTCTGTCTCCACACACTGTCTACCACTGACTACAGAGACAAACCCGAAAGTGGACATTTTTTATCTTTCTTGGTTTTTTTTTCCCCCTCCCTTCATTGTTTGATTTTGTTTGATGATTGTAAATATGGCTTCTAGTTTCTTTGTGGTTGTTGATCTGTTATTTCTTCCTTCTCTCCATCCCTACTGTCTTCTTCACCAGTTTCCGTGATCTTCCTTTGATCTCTATCCTTGCTTCTAATCTCTTCCTCTTTAAAAATCATTTGTTTACTATGAATGTCCATTTTGTATCTGTGTATTCAAAGTGGTTGGGATAGATATATAGTTGCATTCTCTTAATGAATAGAATGATTTTTTCTAATGGTGTTTGTAAGTAGGATCACAAGTCTGCATCTTGTACAGCAATTAACCACTAAGAAGAATATATGCAGTGTATTATTTGTTGAAACTGTACTTTCGATTTGATTTGAAACTGTCTCATTGCTATATGTTTATCAATAAAACTTTGAAAATAAAAAAAAATCATTTGTTTGTTTGTTTGTTTATCTGGTACAGGGTCTTCCTATGCAGCTCAGCTAGGACTAGTAGTAACCCTCCTGTCTCAGCCTCCCCAGCATTGGGATTACGGGCATGCGTCACCACGCCCCAGTTTCAGTAACCCGCATGAGGTACTGGGCATGGAACCCAGGTCCTTGTTCTTGCCAGGCAGGCACTTAGACCAGTGAGATATCTTCTCAGGCCCTCTTCTTCTTCTATTTGTCTATCTTTTCCCTAACACCTTTTAAATTTCTCCCAACGGTAAAATTGGCATATTTTTTTTAAATATTTATTTATTTATTTATTTATTTATTTATTTAGTGTGTGTGGCCAGCTCAGCCCACCAGGGGGCGGGGCTGGCTGGCATGTGGTGCTGGGGGATTGAACCGTGGTCCCTGTGCTTTGCTTAGCTTAGCTTGTTCTAAGTAGATGCTTTAGACCACTGAGTCATCTCACCAGCCCCAAAAATTGGCATATTGAAGGCTTATTTACAGCATACAATTTTCTGGTTTTAGATTTGTCATATAACTATGAATATAGTTCATTCAGTTGAAGGTGGCAAATTAAACAAAAACTGAAGAGCTAGGAACTTAAGACTAAAACCCCAAAAACCAGCTATACCTGGAAAACACCTCTAAAAGAGGCCTTCCTTCCCCTGTCCAGTATTACCCACAGGAGCAGTTTCAAAGCACCACAACCTTTCTATGTTAATGAAAATCTAATATAAACTGCCAAATCTCTGCCTTAAATACAAAGCAGAATTAACATTTCTTGGTGAATTAATTTAATTCACCATTAATTTCAACATTTCTTGGTGACACATCATCTTGATTATGAACAGTGACTTTTATGTGCTGTTATAACGTATCTTGGGAATTAAAGTGCCTTGATTTCTGATCATGTATTAACTGACCCCCGTGAATTACATTTGGACATAATAAAACTCATTTTTATTGAGACAGAGTCTCTCCACATTGCCCAGCATGGTCTCAAATTCATGGGCTGAACTGATCTACCTGCTTCAGCTTCCTCAAGTAGGTGGAACTATAGGCATGTGTACCTTGCTAAGACTTCTATTTGATAATCATACTACTTTATCTTTTCATTCTTCTTGGCAAATATAGTATTATTTCTTTCTAAACTGTCTAACTCTAGCATCTCCCCTAGACAATAATAACTTTACATGCTAATGACCAAAAAGCATGTAAGTAAATGCTTCTTGTTCATTAACATAATAATTACAAGGTTATAGATGGCTCTAGGCTTTTCTATGAATTAAAAAGTGCATGGGCTTAAAGATAGCCATTTTCTTTTAAGAGACTTTTAAACCTTTTTTATCTTGGACCTGTGCTGTGACTTTAAAACTGTGAGGGAGAGGGATCTCCAGCCATCTGATGTCTGAATAAATCAGAACTTAACAAAAACTATTACTAAATAACCAAACTTTATAACTAAAGGATATCACTATATACTACCAAATACTCTATTCAAGTATTATAATTATTACTAATAATATTTTTAAAACTCACCTGATTTCTTTTAGTCCTTCTCTCTGGATAACTTGAAGAATTTCTTTATGACTCATGGGTGTATTAGGGTATTTTTCTAAGACCTGAGAAACAAGTATACGATAATAAATTATTTCTTAGGTTCTTATATAAGTAATTATATCTTTTCTTATAACTGTCTTAATAATTACATCCCAAACAATTTCCATCTGAGATCTTCTCTCTCAATTACAGTGAGTGAAATTCTAAAGCAGAAATGGATCAAAAAGCTAAAATTAGTAATTAAAACATAAACCATTAATATGAAGTTGTTTGCTGTCTCTGCCTCTGCCACATGATATCCTTACCTCTATTTATCATAAACACCTTAAGATTATCCATGTTTACACTTCCAGAAAAACCTACCACTACATGGATGTCCAATTAATTCTTAACCAAAACAAATGACCGCTATATCTATAATAAAATTAAATGAATGTGTGTTCTGGTTCTAATAAAGACAGAAAAAGCACAATCCAACCTGTTTCAACAGAACACATGAAGCAGTCATTTGAAAATGGTAGTAGGTGGCTTGGGGAGGAAACCACAAGTACCACATGTATGATGGTGAATTTCCTGGTTTTGTTTCCTCTGGTAGCTCTTGGAATGAATTGAGCAGCCCTACACCCAGAATAGAACACTAAATACAGACAGAAAGTATCCTAAGACAAGTCTCTCTCTCTCTCTTTTTTTTTTTTTTTTTTGGTCTGAGGCACATAACCTCTTTAGCATCACATAGAGGGAGGGGAAATCCTATGAAGGTTTTGTTTTCCCCACTTTCTCTGCCCCGATCCCAAGCAATCTCACAGCAGGAATTGTAGTGGCATTATTACCAGTTATGGCAGAGCAGAGACCTAAAACTCCAAGAAAAGGAAATTGCTTTCTGGTCTCATGAGTGTAAAGGGAATCTCCACGATTCGCCCTGCCCCCCGGAACCGGGGATTGAACTCAGGCCCTTGCGTTTGCCAGGGAAGCACTTATTCTACTGAGCCATCTCCCTTGCCTCCATGATTTATCCTTTATTTTTCTGTCGTCCTACTGCATGACTTCAAAGGTAAACACAATCACAAAAGTATGCAGCAAGCTGGGAGAGGTAGTACACTCCTAGATAATCATGAGGCTGAAAACTGGCACATTCTAGGCCAGTCTGGGAAACTTAGTGAGACTTAGGGGGTTGGGGATATGGCCCAGTGTTGGGCACCCATGTTTAATTTCTAGTATCACCTAAAAGGAGGGGCTGAGAAGGGAGCCAATGGTAGTATTGGTGGTGTGTGGCAAGCCAGAGAAATAAAAAAGTCCAGTTTTCCAACCAGATCACAAAGTTTTCCTTAAATTTGCTTTTATCTAAGTTTTTCTTTGTAACTTGGCTAGAAAACTCCCTAGGAGCCAAAAACTATCAGGGAACTTGCAAAGAGAAAAGAGCTCAATAAGGTGATGGCATGAAGTTTAATAAAAAAAATCCTAGGGTTAGCCCAATGCTATACATCTGGGGAATCCAACCTGACATTGACAGGTAGATCCATATAAACATTTCTTGTTTAAAGACCAAGTTACACTCCGTGCGCACCCAGCCTGAACCAGCCGGTGCCTAGTAGATTGCAACCATGAAGTTCAACTCGTTCATGACCTCAGATAGCAGCAAAAATCACAAATGTCACTTCAATGCTCCCTCGCACAGGCGTCAGAAGATCATGTCTTCCCCTCTTTCCAAGGAGCTGTGGCAGAAATACAAGGTCCACTCCATGCCCATTCACAAGAATAATGAGGTCCAGGTAATTCACTGACAAAGGTCAGTGAATCGGCAATGTAGTTCAGGTGTACAGAAATACATGTCACGTACATCGAGCAGGACAACATGAGAAACCCAATGGCACGATTGTACATGTGGGCATTCACCTCAGCAAGGTGGTTATCACCAGGCTAAAATTGGACAAAGACACAAAAAAAGATTCTTGACACAAAGCCAAGTCTTGGACAAGTTGGAAAAGAGAAAGGCAGATGGGGACTCCCAGCCTGTTGGGTGGGTCTCTGTTGCTCTCTGCTGCGTCAGGGCCCCCAAGGAAGCGCACGGCTAGAGAGGCCGGGGTTGCGAAGAGCAAGCAGCGTGTCCTGGATGAGGAAGAGTATATTGAGGGCCTCCAGACCGTCATCCAGAGGGATTTCTTTCCTTATGTAGAGAAGCTATAGGCTCAGAAAGAGTATCTAGAGGCTGAGGAGAATGGACACTTGGAACGGATGTGCCAGATCGCCATCAAATTTGGCTCTGCCCTGGGCAAGATGTCCACAGAACCTCCGCCACCTTATGTGACTCCAGCCACATTTGAAACTCCTGAGGTACACACAGGCACTGCAGCAGTTGGCAACAAGCCCCGGTCCAGGGCCAGAGGCCTGGCGGATGGAGAGGCTGGAGAGGAGGAGGAGAAAGAGCCACTGCCCAGCTTGGATGTCTTCCTGAGCTGCTACACAAGCGAGGACAATGCCTCCTTCCAGGAGATCATGGAGGTGGCCAAGGAGAAAAGCTGGGCCCGTCACGCCTGGCTTTACCAGGCTGAAGAGAAGAGGCAGAAAGATAATCTTGAACTACCATCAGCAGAGCACCAGGCCATTGAGAACAGCCAGGCCGGCGTGGAGACCTGGAAGTACAAGGCCAAGAACTCCCTCATATACTATCCAGAGGGTGTCCCTGATGAAGAGCAGCTGTTTAAGAAAGCCTGGCAAGTGGTGCATAAGAACACTCACTTCCTTAGGGATCCCTTCAGTCAGGCAAGCAGCAGCCCTCAATGCCCAGCACAAACAGGGCAAAGTGGGCCCTGACGGCAAGGAGCTCATTCCCCAGGATTCCCCTCGAGTGGCTGGATTTGGATTTGTTGCCACCCCTTCTCCTGCCCCTGGTGTGAATGAATCCCCACTGATGACCTGGGGGGAGGTAGAGAACACACCACTGAGAGTTGAAGGGTCAGACACCCCCTATGTGGACAGGACTCCTGGGCCAGCCTTCAAGATCTTGGAGCCTGGCTGCAGAGAGCGGCTGGGCCTGAAGATGGCCAATGAGGCAGCTGCCAAGAACCAGGCCAAGAAGCAGGAAGCCTTGCAGAGAGCGACAGAGAACCTGGCCAGCCTCACACCTAAGATCTCAGTCCAGTCATGTCCCCAGCCCTGCAGCGGCTTGTGAGCAGGCCAGCCAGCAAGTACACAGATCATGCCTTACGGGGCAGCTACACACCGTCCCCAGCACACTCGACTCACCTCAAGACTCCAGCTGGTGGACCTCAGACTCCCACAAGCACACCAGCTCCTGGTTCTGCCCCACGCACACCCCTCACATAAGACCCAGCCTCCATCACGGACAACTTGCTGCAACTCCCTGCCCGACACAAAGCCTCGGACTTCTTTTAAGCCGACCCAGGCTTGGCCCACAGATGCGTCATGGAGCCTGAAGTATAGAGGGCTGCAGCCTCTGGGACCCACAGATGATAGGTGCTGTGGGGTAGCCGGGCTGACACAGGACACACACCCACTCTCCTTGGGGAACAGCACCCATGCTGTCTCCTGAGGCCTTGCTGGAACTTTTCTATTTAATCCCTGCCTGAACTGTTATTAAAGAATACCTGATACAGTCAAAAAAAAAAAAAAAAAGGAAAAGAGAAAGGCAAATACAAGGAAGAGCTCACTGAGAAAATGCAAGAGTGAATATAACCTGTCATGCAGTCTTGTTTTACCTGGAGATGTCTAGCCTACCCTGTGTTTCTCTGGAACTTTACAAGATGTCTCTGGAATCTCACTGCCTCCTTGTTTTGTTGTTGATATCTGGCTCTGTAAATCTATTTTTCCAATTTTTGATTAATAATTTTACAAATAAAAAAGGAGCATTTTCCAACTCCAAAAAGCGAATAAAAAAATAAAAATAAAGACCAAGTTGCAGTCCTGTGACTGGGTTGTAAACTGGACTAGTCACTAAGAAACTGACTTCAAAGCTAAACATACAGGAATTGCATATAGTATGTACAATATGCAGGAGAAACGGTCAAAGAAAACTCCAACATCTGCTTTTATTTATGTAACTCTTACATGTTGTTTATTTATTTATTTTTGGTAACAGGGATTGAACTCAGGACCTTGTGCTTACCAGACAAGCACTTAAGCCACTGAGCCATCTCCCTGACCTTCTTTCATGTAATTTATAATAGAACATAAAACTGTAATACTAAAAAAAAAAAAAAACCTGTAATACTGTACTGTACAGTGCAATCAGGAAAAATTAGATTTGTATAAACACAGTACTGTCCTTTTTTTTTTACAGTATAGTATTATAGAAAACACACACACACACACACACACACACACACACACACATTCACATCCAGAATTGCCAGGTGTGATGGGAAGCAGAGGTAGAGGATTGCTAAAAGTTTGAGGCCAGTCTAGGCTACATAATGAGTTCAACAGCAGCCCACATACTGAAACCCTATCTCCAAGAGAGGAAAAAAAGAAAAGAAAAAGAGGCCCACAACTGTATGTATGTATGTGTGTATGTATGTAAGTATGCATGTATTTTGGGGTACCAGGGATTGAACTCGGGCTCCTGCACTTGCCAGTCAGGCACTCACAATTGTATTTAAAAAAAAAAAAAAATTCAAGCTAGCATTTTTAGTCACAGAAACATTCAAAGTTCTCATCAGGGTCATCAACATAGTTATGATCAGGAGATGTAGAAGGCTCAATTAAGGAAATGATGAAGGAATGGAAGAATTAGTAGTAGAGGTCCTGGCCTTTAAGAAGTATCTTATTAGTGTGGTCTAGTCTGCCATTTTCTTTTTCACTTCAGGAACTTCATATTGCAAAAGTTCACTCATTTACCATTCCACTTTCATGAACCTTTCAACATTTAGATCCATATAGACTAGTTCCAGATGGGCATGGCAGCACATACCCGTAATCACAGCACTTGGGAGACTGAAGCAGAAACACCACTGCAAGTGCAAGTTCAAGGTGTCAGCCTGAGCCACACAGTGAATACAAGACCAACCTATACTACACTGCAAGACCTTGTCTCCAAAAAATCATG